AGTAGGACATTTATGCCATTCCCCTGCTGGTGAAAGATTGTTCTTACACGACACACTCTTCTCTACAGCTACATCCAATTTAATTTACAGACCGTCCACTGACAGCACTCTCACCAGCCACACTTCCCTGGGAAACAGCATTCTTCAAGACTAATAGATCTCATTGTTAGGAGGTTATCATCCCATTATCTTTTACAGTAATTAAAATTGTACCTCGTGTACCATCCTAAACAATCCCACTCCCTCGTTATTTCACTCTGTAGGTACTTGTAGGCAGCTCCAATGTTCTCCAACCAAGCTTCATTGTCACTTAACTGAGCAATACATATTTAATTCAATTAGTCTTGCTTCATAAATCAGTCCCTCCAGCTCCTTAATCATTTGACTGATTAGAGTCAAACTTGGTTGGAAAGACACTGATGATAGCAACAGTAAAAAGTTTTATAGGAAATAAAAGCCTTGTGTAGATAAGGCACACGGCTGCCAATTTGGTACCTTTCATTGACAGCACATATTTTTCTTCCAGCTGAAAACTTAACGTAAAATATTTATCATTCCACAAATAGATCATGATTGAATTTTTCTTGCAATTAGGGAAACACAAACAGTTAAAATAGAATAAAATATGTGCTTCATCTGAAATGTATTCTCCCTGCTGTCAGAAATGTAACAATATTATAATCATTTGATTTGAGCTAGAAAAATGTAAAATGGAAGATTAGTGTTTCACAAAATGGAGAAGGAAGAAAACTCAAAAGTGGGAAGTAAAATGAAGTCTCCTCAAGTGCAGGAATTTTTTTAGGACAGTCCATCTAAATGGGTATTACACACAAATAATCATTTCAGAAAGAGGCAATAATATTGAGCCTAGATTCCAAGTTTAATGTATTTTTATTTGTAACTTTTTTAGGGTAGAAAGAAAATATCTTACAGTACAAGTATGCAGAACCTTACTAAGGATGTTAAGGACTAGTCAACTATCCGATAAGCAAGTGCTTATCAGATAGTCGACTAGTTGATTCCTCCCCCCTTTGCTCCCTTTATCAGACAGAGGCAACAAAGTGGGGGAAAGAAGGGGTTCTTCAAAGCGTCAGCACTGCACAGTTGAGCCGGGGATCAGCTGTGTGGCGCTGATGCTTTGAAATCCCAAGGCGGCATTTCAAAGGGGCAGCCACCGCACAGCTGATCTGCGGCTAAGTTGTGCATCACTGTCCCTTTAAAGGACAGTCCCTTTAAAGCACTGAAGCGCTGTGGAGACCAGAGTCAGCTGGGGACTCCCCAGCTAACTCCAGGTTCTGAGCGGCATTTCCCCAGAACCCGGGTTCTGTTGAAATGCCACAGGGAGCCTGGGATCAGCTGGGGAGTCCCCAGCTGACCCTGGGCTCCATGGCACTGCCCCTTTGAAATGCTGAGGCGGTGTTTCAAAGGGGCAGCCACCGCACAGCTGAGATGGGGATTCAAAGGAGCAATGCCATGGAGTCTGGGGTCAGCTGTGGACTCCTCCAGATGATTCCGGGCTCCGCGCAGCATATTAGCCGAACCCGGTATCAGTTAGGGGACTTCCTAGCTGACCCCAGGCTCCACGCAGCGTGCAGCACAGCACAGAGCCCGGGGTCAGTGGGGGACTGAGTCCCCCGCTGACCCCAGACTCCATGGCACTTCCGCATTCCTCCTTTGAAATGTACATATCAAAGCAGGCATGCTCACATGCAACCTGGAGTCAGCAGGACTTCCTGCTCACCCTTGGCTGCAGGCAAAATTCCGCATTCCTCCTTTGAAATGTACAAGAGCCCCTACTCACCCTTCCTGCTCACCCTTGGCTGCAGGCGAAATTCCGCATTCCTCCTTTGAAATGTACAAGAGCTCTTGTACATTTCAAAGGAGGAATGCGGAATTTCGCCTGCAGCCAAGGGTGAGCAGGAAGGGTGAGTAGGGGCTCTTGTACATTTCAAAGGAGGAATGTGGAAGTGCCTATCAACTAGTCCATTGACTAGTCCATTGACTACTCGACTAGTCAATTAACCACAATTTAACATCTCAACTAGTCAATTTCAAAGGAGGAATGCAGGAGTGCCTATCAACTAGTCAATTAACCACAATTCAACATCCTTAAACCTTACAGGGTTCTCTCAATCTTCTGTACACCATTATAGTGGAATAGCTGCAAGATGAAATGGCATTCTTACAATTGGCATCCGCAGCTCCAAAAGAATGGGCTTTGGAATTTTCTTTTTGTTTTTTTCCTACGGCATCTTACTTCCTGTTGTCTTAGAATTGGAGTTGGTAATGACTGATATCCCCTGACTTGAAAGTGCTAAAGAAACTGATCAGTGGATTTTTTTTGTTTTAAGTCTGCTGTTATGAGGTAAAATGTAGGGACTGCTTACTTGTGAAAGTAATCCCATTTATTTCAATCACAGTGGTAATAGTTAAGTCAGGCTCCTGTTATGGAAAGGTCCTTCACACAGCGTTCTCTAATGCTGCGTAAAGGAGAAATTCCATAATGATGTTTTCTTTATTAATTGCATTTTCATATGAAGCTTCAAAACTCTGTGGGAATTTGTTATATAAAATACAGGAGTTAATTTACTTCAGGGAATGCCAATGAGAACACAGAGGCGTTGACATACAGAATCCTCACATCCAGTGACTACAGCCTGGTTTCTGTTCTCCAGTCTAACTGAGATCAGAATTTATGGGGTTTTTTCAGTTGTATCACACTACATCTCTATGTAATAGTGAATTACGGACAGATAGCTAAACAGGCATAATGTTAAGCAGCACACACAAAGTATCAGTGGTGAGAATGGTAAGGGTACATGGAGAGCTGGTAATTTGGAAGGCAGCTATGCAATAAGAAAAGTTTGAGAACCTCAGTTTTAGGAATTATGAAATATAATACAGACAATTCATTGGAAATAAATTCAGTAGCTGCATTCCTCAATAATTCCTATCGCTTTCTGAAGGATCCAAAGAAGCCTGATTCTGTCTCTCCCTCCTCCTCTTATTCATGTTGTCCACAAATTGTCTGACTGATTTCAAAACTACTCAAAGTGAGGAGCAACAGAAAATGGGATTAGAATAATAGCACTGATTAGGCTGTTCTGAAGTTTTTGAAAGAGAGAGAGTTTGGAAAATTTCAATCAAAATGGCTCATTTATAGAAACAATCCACATCAAATCATCTTTTATGTGACAAAGTAAAAGACTCTCAAATCATGTTTTTGTGGAAACTCAACCCTAAAACTGAACCTTTGCCTATGTTAACTAACTAGTGGTAACCCTTCTTTTTTAGAATTAAGTTCCCACAGAAGCAACATTTAGTCTTCAACTTTGACACAGAAAACATGATATTTTAATTCTTTTTAAAACTTATAATTGTTATGGATTAATTCTTTAACTCATTTTAATAAATGGAGAATTTACTACTTTAGGGGCTAAATTGGGGTAATTTTTGTGGGTTTGCATTTACTCACATGAGTAATCCTGTTGGTTGCCAAGGGTACATCTACACAGCAATGTTATTTTAGAATAACATTATTTCGGAATAAAGCAGTGTTATTAACAAAAATAACGAAGAGCACGTCTACACTAAAAGCCTTTATTAAGAAATTATGTCGAGCTGGAGGACTTCTTACTTAGACTCCTGGTAACCCTCATTTCACGAGGGGTAAGGCAAGTCAAAGGAAGAATGTTCTTCTTTTGACTTCCTTCCGTGTAGACAGCACCAAAAGCCAAATTAAGCTATTTTGACTTAAGCTATGCAATTGACGTGCAAAAGCTTAATTCGACTTTAGTCCTGCTGTGAAGACATACCCAAAGTGAATAAGGGCTGCATACTCTATCCCATACTGAATTCTAAGGGAAGTACTAAATTATGTAGTTGATTTAAAGGCCAAATTCTGATTTGAAGTATGGGCACAAAAAGAGGCGTACAAATCCAAAATACACCTTTAGCCAGGCTAGTTCGACCAGGAGTAAATGAAAGGATAAGTAAGAGCATCTGCTTATTCCTTACCCTGTGCAGGAGAGTAAAGAGTGAGTAGGAAAGATCAGGAAGTTGGCTCAACTTTGAGTTCAACTCACTGGCTAGAACAACTGAGCTAGCATGAGAGTCAGGCCAGCAAGAAATTAACATCCCCCAGGAGCAAAGAGAAAGAAAGGAGAGAACGCTGGTTGCTTGGCTCACAATTCCTTCCCTGGGATGTTACCAAGGATAACACAGCTATGTTCCACCTCCTACTACGGGCTTTGGCTGATCACAGAATGGAGTCCACAATGATTGGGAATGCCTATGGTCTGACAGTTTCTATATGAGAAGATAATGTAATAGTATAGATGAATGTCTTATGGTTGGATTGAAATTCTTTTTTCATGTACACCACTGAACACCACCATTCATCTGAACCACCCCGTTCGATGGGACAGATTGAAATGGGGGTATAAGCAAGAGAAGAACTGAGACCTGGAAGTCAGACCTTCTGAGACATTGTGAAATTCATGGAGGTTAGGTCCATCAATGGCTATTAGCCAGGATGGGTAGGCATGGTGTCCTGAGTCTTTGTCTGTCAGAAGCTGGGAATGAGCAATAGGCAGTGGATCACTTGATAATTGTTCTGTTCATTCCCTCTGAAGCACCAGGCATTGGCCATTATCAGAAGACAGACTACTGGGCTAGATTAACATTTCAAAGGAGGAATGTGGAAGTGCCTATCAACTAGTCCATTGACTAGTCCATTGACTACTCGACTAGTCAATTAACCACAATTTAACATCTCAACTAGTCAATTTCAAAGGAGGAATGCAGGAGTGCCTATCGACCCAGTATGTGGCTTGACCCAGTATGGCAAGTCTTGTGGTCTTATGAAATTATAACACAATGTTATGGTATTTTCAATGCCTAGATTTCCAGATGCTAGAACCCAAAAAATCCCAATCTAATCCCAACCCAGGTTTATTTAAAACACAGAAAAGAATAATTAAATAAAACTTGGCACCTACCCACTTCCGCCAAAGTTTTGATACATGACTCCACTGAGGCTTTCTGCGTTGGGTTTGGCCAGGTACAGTTGTAAATTCTGAAAGCAGACTGAAGCAGCTGAATAAAGACTGGCTGATGTGTCTGAAAACCAAAAAGGAAACAACTAGTTTTATACTTTAGAATTTCCTTACAGTTACCCTAGGTTTTGCCCCCACATATATTACATGCATGACTCTAGAACTCCATAAAGTTCTTGTCAGTCTTCAGTACAGAATAAAACATAAAAAAAAAGTTTGGCATTCTCATAAAATAGGCAAATCATGCAGTCCTTACTCAGTTAAAATTTCTGCTGATATAAAACAACATAGCATATTGCAGAGAAAAAAATTGAGAGATTTCTCGAGCCCCAAACATAGGAAACTTTCCAATTTAGGCCACAAAAAGATTTACTCTTTTAGACACAAACAAATACTCTTACAAAGTGATCATTCATGCTAAGTCCCTAGCCACTGAAGTCAGATGTAAAGATCTGTGAAGAAAGAGTCCTTTGCTAGATCAGGGTCAATAGAAATATGATTTTTCAAATATGAGTGTGGCATATAAGTATGAATCATAAGGGGTGGAATAGGAAATAAAGAAGAAAAGAAAGGTGAAGCATATCCATCCTGCGACTGGAAGATGACTTCTTAATTATCTGAATTACAGATTTCTTGGAGTCTTCCTCGTTCTTACCTGGAGGCTAGTGCTGTTATCTGAAAATGGAGAACTGAAGAAGCCACTCACAATGTTCATTACTGGTTCAGTGACATACTTCTCCAGAGATATATCTGCATGTTTCCGGTCTGTAGTTGTGTTGCAAACCTACAGTGGAAAGAAAAATATTCGTTCTTCTTTACTTGTGATATTTTGAGAGAGAAACCTAAACAGAATATTGATATTTAATAGTTTTTGAAAAATGTTGTTTTGTATTAAATATATAAAATCAAGCTAATGACCTTGTGCTCAAGCTGTATTCTGTGTTCATTTTTGTTCCTTGGAGCACCACCAAGCTCCTCTGGACTCCTACCTTTCCAGAATTAGTTCCTCTAGTTCAGTTGGACAAACAAGTCTGTTGGACAACTCTGGACATTCCTTCCGGCCCACACATCATGTTCTACTTTACGCATCTAGACAGACTCAGGAAGGAAAAGAATCATCCCTCCAGATAGGTTGGAAAAAGCTCTAAAGAGAGACATGCAAACACAAACCTACTATATTTCACTATCAGTGGTAAATAGGCCAATGGTAGGATGATAGGAGTTACTATAGAGAACTTTTTTCTGGGTGTCTGGCTGGTGGGTCTTGCCCATATGCTCAGGCTTCAGCTGATTGCCATATTTGGGGTTGGGAAGGAATTTTACTCCAGGGTAGATTGGCAGAGGTCCTGAAGGCTTTTCACCTTCCTCTGTAGCATGAGGCATGGATCACTTGCTGGAGGATTCTCTGTATGTTAGGGTCCTTAAACTATTTGAGGACTTCAATAACTGAGATATAGGTGAGAGGATTATTCTAAGAGGGGTGGGTGAGATTCTGTGGCCTGCATTGTGCAGGGGGTCAGACTAGATGATCATAATGGTCCCTTCTGACCTTAAAGTCTATGAGTCTATTAGAAACATGAAAAATGTTCCCAGATGGTGCTGAATTTGGAGCAATTTCGGTTATGATAGGAAGAATGGAGTGCCTTCAAACAGAAGGGATTTAAAAACAACACACAAAATCAAACAAGCAACCACAGAGGAGCTGACAGCCATGCTGGCCCTCTGGGCAAGGTGGGAAGAAGGGCACAGCGCTGCACTCCTAGACGGGGCAAGGTCTTAGGTAGAAGGGCATGGCTGGGAGCATCCAGCCCTCAGCGCTACCCAGGCCACGGCACACCACCTCCAACCCCAAGCCCCCTGTCCTTAGCACCGCTTGGAGTGTGCCATGTGGCTCTCTGGCAACAACATAAAGAACCCAGGGTTCCGGTGCTGCCACAGCAGCACTGGCAACAATGCTGAGAACCCCAGGCCCTTCCAAATCACCATGCTCTGGGGCAGCTGTCAGCAGGCCTGAGCAAATAAAAAGGACAACCGGGAAGCAAGCATAGACAAAATAAAAGCAAAATCCCTTCCAGTCAGTCAGCAGAGGCCACCAGCGGAATCCATAGGAACAAAGTGCAAAGCTAGTCAAAGACCCACCCGTTCTGCCAGGTGAGTTACATGGTAGATTCATCATGTTGCAGTGTTAAGTGCAAGACATGAGAGATGTGCAAAAGGGAACAAGGAAGAAGAGGGGAGAGGAA